TGAGTCGTCGAACCACCACGAACAAGGAGATACCATAGATCAGTTTTCACAAGTCCCAGTCATTTGGGTGGTCCTTCGAACCAGTATCTAGACGGCACAACATCGTGCAAACATCCACAAAGCTCGAAAGTTCATCGCCACAACCACGGGCATTAACAGTCAACTTGATTCAATATACGTAGTAAGTGGCTTTGATGGTCTCTTGTTAGGCATCTTTCGCTACATATTCTTCAGCCACGAACGTTATATGCTCTTCGGTTTTCCGTGACATAATCATCATGAGTTCAGTTCGAGTCTTCTAAAGACTGGTGCAGCACGTTATTCTTCATATTCGAAACAGCTTTTCTACGAAGACGTGGCAACGAACAGTTTGCATTTGCAACATCTATTTTTCTTTCTAGTAGTACTCTTACAATTCGATAAATAACAAAATTTGCAGCACGGTGAAGATATTTTTGACGATGTGACTGATGCAGAAGAAAGTTTAGACAGCCTTTCTTTAGATGGCATGCTCGTACAATACCTCGAAGTGGCAGAACATGAAAAGAAAACATTTGATGGTCTCGGCTAGGACCGGCAAAGCAAGTGACAATATTTCGTATAATTTTAATATAATGTAAAAATGATAGTGTACAAATTTAATAAAATTATTACAGTATGAAGCATGTGATAGTTAAACGAACTGAGTTTTACCTTTTAATACTCATTTCTTGTAAATATTTGATATTGGGTCAAATTTGACCCAAATTTACTTATTCGCGTAACTTTACAAAAGAAGCCACTTTCTATGAGATAGGAATAAAATATTTTAATCCTACTTTGGAATTATATCAAATGATTGCTTTTCACAGTTTAGTTTTAGTTTTAGTTTGTTAACGAACAGTCGAAGAATAATTTAAAGGGCCTGAAATAACTTTCTGGAAAATACTTTATTAGAGTTGCTCGAAATTTCACTGTTTCCCCACTACATATCTTGCAAATTAAAACGCCAACATCTTCCACACAACGCAAGTTTATTACCGCAAACGGCGAACAAATATACCGTCTTTTTTTATCACCAGGCGCCATCAAGCTGTCTTCGTAGTTTCCATGAACGCGAAGAGCCGAGCGTTGCTTAACAAGCGTCCACATGGTCTCGAGATGTTGCCATCGCATCTCCAGAAAATTAACGTGGACTTAACGATGCCTCGAGTGGTATCCGCTAATTATACCGATAATCCGTACTCGTGTAAAGCGATTCGAAGCCCATCGTAACGTTGCGCGTTCCCTCTTTAATTAATTATCTCATTAGAGTCCCAAAAGTCTCCCTAATGACCCCTTTTACAGGCAAACTCTACCCTCCTCTTCCCCCTCTCCGCCCTTTTCTGTATCCACGGTGTTACGTTCATTTTTCTCCGGTCGTTCCACCAATTTGTTTATCACCTGGCCCGTGTCGAGGTCAACTGCCTCGCGAACAAAGAAACCACTGTGACTTGTCCTTCCCTGTTTTTCTCTCTGCTCGAAACGGGGA